CCTGGGTGCACTTCTCAGCATCCTGGCATTGGTTCAGCTCCCACTCAACCTTTTAACACCCCATTCTTTCTGAAACCAGGCAGAACTCAAACCAGTCTTCTCAAAATATAGAATTTCATGATCTGTGCCATCATTGTAAGCACACAACAAAACAGGACCATCACCAGGACTGGACCAGGCAGGCCACAACTCTGTCTAACCCAGCTACGAGGCCCTCCAAGGACAGAGATTCCCACCCCTCATATTCCCAAGATCTTTTTCACCATATCCAACCCACATCTCCCCAGGACCAAAAAGAAGGACATAACTTCCCTCTTGGGCTTTTAAGAGAAAATATTCTGTAACCCAAATAAAACTCAGTCATAACAAAACAAGGCTTTGTTTGCTGGAGGAGGGGAGAAAACACTATTCATTTATCAAATTAGAGTACTAAAAGCTTAACTACCTGTCTTTAAAAAGAAGCCAAAGCACTGATCTATAACCAAACACAAACACACCACTTCTTCATCTTGATTTGTGTGGAGGCAAAGCTATGGGCACAAAAGGTATTCTTCTTCAAATAAAATCTATTTTAAAACTTGGCAACCACTAGCATAAATACTTTACACTGCTAATGTAATGTAAGCATTTCCACGCAGAAGTTTCATCAGCTTAACAATATATTTTAAAAAGCTGGCGCTAACTTCTGTGCAAAAACACCATCAGTCTCTGTCCTGTATATCTTAGAGTGCTTCAGCCACTAAATCACCACTTAGAGCTCTTAGCACCAGACCCTCTCCCTGTTGGATTCACTGATTTCTCTCAAGAACAATGCAGCCAAATTATTCTTCTGCAACTTATTTTCTTTAAAACTGGAAATAGCCACTGCTCTACAAGGATTCCAAAGAGGGTTGTACTGATTACAAATGATACTGTGGGCTCAGCAATTTTAATTCAAGACAAGCATTCCCAACTTTACGTATGGGTCTAACATTCAGTAGCTGATTTCTTCCTGCAAACAAGCTCCCATGAAGCTCCAACAACCTAAGTGCAAGATGCATGTGCTGCCTCTCCAGTTAAAAGAAGCATCAGTAAAAGGGTAACACATCTTTAAATTTTCTAAATATGACTTCTGCACCGTTTGATTTTGCATCCTCACTTTTCCAAGCGGTCAGTACAATTAACACCAATTCCTTCAACACCACACAGTCTTGAGTCAGAGGTGTGCAATTTAATATTTAATTATGAACAAAGCTGCCAACCTCAAAATTAGGGCTGCCAGCTAAACTTCAGCCAGCTCCTTCCTGATGCAGCCCCAGCTTCTGACCGCTGGACCGTTTATGCTCCCTAAGCCACAGAGAGATCCCGTGCTTTCCCTGAACCAGTTACACGTTAGTTTGTCATTGCATTGTCCCACATCAGAGGTTGTCACATCCCTCCAAAGCTTCCTCAGTTTTTCTCCACATGCCTCCTCTGCACACCCCATGGTGAAGTGCTGGCTGTGTGTTTTGGGGAGAGCTGCTCTATGTGTCCTCTATGTGTCCATAGAGGCTGCCAGTGCATGGGCACAGGCACAAGGACTCTCCTGGTGATTCCTACCAGCCTGGAGAACCACATCACCCACCCTTTTCATTTGAACCACCAACACTTGTGAAATGTGGTGAGCTGAGTCAGCTCAGTACCTTAGAAATTAAAGCTTGAAGCCAACTTCTTTACAAAAACAAACAACCCCCTGTGTATATCAAATCCCAGGCTAAGAAATTTCTCCATCCATGTCCAGCAGCTCTACCACCAACACTCCTCAAAATCCAGCAACTGGAGACTTCACCCACCACCATGTGTCCTCTAATCACCATCATCCGGGCCTCCTCTTCAACACTGTACACTTCATGGAGTGGGTCAAAACCCAAAACAATTGGCAGAACTAACGTAAGTCTCTCAGTTTGCCTGGTTTTCCGGAGAGATGACACCATATGCTATTTTCACTTCCCACCACAGAAGAAAGCAAAGGCAAGGCCTGTGAGAGCACTGCTCTGCGATGCTTTGGGAATGGGACAGGAGCCCTGTCCCACACAGAGCTAAAGAGAGAGAGCACGAGAAACCCACCCCAGCAAAAGGCACGAGCAAACCTCCAAGCACCACAATTCCAACTGTCTCAGGGGCTGTGTTTTCCTGGAGCGCTCCAAGAGCAGGCTGCAGGCGGTTCTCAGGCACAGGTTTAATTTCTGCTCTCCAGCTCCGAGGAACGCTGTCCCAGCGTGTCGGAAGAAGGTTAATGAACGATTTAGCCGCCCTCACAACCACGTTAGTGTCACTTTCGGAAGCTGCGAGTTAATGCCCGAGATCTTCGGGGGTTGCCCTCTTTGAAGTTCACTGATCCATAACCAATGTCCAATTAATTTGCAGGAGCCTAACGATAATGACTATTGGCCTTTTCCGACGCATACAAAAACACAGTGGGTAACAGCGATGCTTTTGGCTTCGGGGTATTCTCAAATCTGCCTGCACATTTGCACACCTTCAAAAATATCCAGCGATAATAACGGGTTGTCTTCTGCCATTTGAGGAATTTTTTACATTTGTTCTCCTGAGAGCAGAGCTACTGCATCAAGATTTATGAACTTTCTGCTGAAAAAAAAAAACCTGGAGCTGATTCAAGATGCTCATTTGCTAACAGAGAAATACTTCTACTGCATTTGCTTAGATTCCTCTTTATTTAGGGTTTCCATGGAAGCCAAGGAATAGAAGTTAAATCTTGGGAAGATTAAACAGGCCCTGAGATATAATGCAAAACAGCTTATTTCAACATTCCCCAAAGAAGAGAAATGAGAAATTCTTCCACACATATGCCAAAAAAAGAGGTTTGTGGAAATTTTCAAAATAAATTGGAACCCAGTTTTTCAAATGCTGCACACAGCCATTGCTTCCTGCTGCAATCAGCTTCTCCAGCTTCTAGCACACTTCCTCAGGTGGGAAAGTAAATGAACAAGTCCCTAAAAACCAGCTTGTTCAAGACAGCTATTGCTATATAACATCCAGGAAGAAGGTTAATTCAACCACAAGGTCTTGCTCAAAGAGGAACAATCACCTCATAAATTAGTATCTGAGCAGTCTTTAGAATTGAAAAATGCAGAGCTTATGCAGTTCAGCAGCATGTTCCATGGCAATGCTCTGGACGCCACAGAAGCTGACAGACCAGCACTGAAAAAATAAAATAAATCCCTTATCTTCAGCTTCTCCAGGCTGAGAAGTGACTCCTGTTCTGGTGAGAAGGGCAAACATTTCCTTCCCTCCCTACCCAACAGGTCAGCAGAGTGTCAGTAGCCACAATGACAGGCTGTTGGACACTACAAATTAATAGCCACACATTTTCTCTGATCTCCATCCTCCAGGTAAAGATTTATTTCACGTTGTTTCAATTTCCTATGAAAATGCCCAGGACTGATGAACTTTACTTCAAAACACTTCTATTTTACAGCACATTTCTTAAATCATTTTACAACCTGGCACAGATATATTCAAATAATGGGTGAAGTGCACACTTTTCTTGAAGTTGGAGCTAAACAGCTCAGTGTCACATACAGGATTTACTTACTACCTGGTCTGGTAAGGAAACTAAACACAGCTGACCCTCAAGTAAGTTATTTTCAATCTTAACACCATCATTGCTTAAATAAAAAGATACTTAAATCAGAGACTTTTCTAATCCTTCATTTATGTGAGCACCCAACTGCTCAGTGACATGCACTTCAAGACACATTCAAGGTTTTTATTAATTCCATGGGAAAGTCCCAAGACACTGGGATATTTTTTTTCCTGACTCTTGATTAAAGCAGCAGGAGCCCGCATGAATTCCCTTTTTTCCCCCTCCCCAAGAGTTTCACATGCAACATCCCCTCCTCAAAATCTGTAAGAAAACAAGAATCAAACCGAGAACATTTTGCCAGCTGAAAGGCGCCGAGACCTTGCGTGGGGCGGGATGTGCTTCCAGCTGCCAGCCTAAAGGGATGGCTGAGGGAGATTAAACACAGAAATGCTTTTCATAAGGCAGGAGGCTTTGAAGAGGACAGTTCAGCTACTTCATTTCGTAATCTTCACAAAGCGTCAGATTTTAGCCTAAGCAGGTCTTAAAACAAGGAGATTTTATTTAAAAAAGGGGGGGAAAAAGTAGGAATGTGTTCTGGCTGGGTTCTGTTGATTCAGCAAGGGTTAGACACACACATGCTTATTGATCCCAGAGAGCTCCCTGCTAAGTTAATTGTCTGGAATTTTAACTGAGCTCTCAGCAAGTTTCAAAATCCATGTTGGCTGGAAGTGGGTGGGGGACCCAGAAAAAAACAGGCTGCAGAACTGTGCAAGTACTACAGTTAAAAAAACCCAGCAATTAGTTTCATGAAGGGAAGAGCTTCAGCAGGGCATGGTTTTAACTGGATTTGGGGATTCTGACTCTGACACCGTTACAATTCAGTGCTGGAAATCTCATAAGCAAAGCAGTACCATTATCAGGGAGCACCATCAATGCTGCTTCACTCCTACCCACACCACCAAGGTGAGGGTATCTATCTCCTGTGAGCTCCCAGTTGTGGCTCATTACAATTTCTACACAGGAAGTGTCACCACCAGCTGTACCTGCCCATGTTACAGTACCTGAACACTGACTTTCTGCTGGTGCAGGCTACAGCAAACCTGGTACTGCAGCTTGCCCAGCCACCTGCATGTGCATGAGGGCTACCCATGGCTTTGCACTGCCCACCAAGCCCTACCTGCCTCCAGAACACCTCCAGCAGCAGTTTCTCCAGGTGAAGAACATGCTGCAGTGATTCCTGGCACTATCAGACAGGAACAGCCAAAGACACCTTTAAAATGACCTGCGATTAGTTTCAAACAAAGCTTTACACCCCATCAACCCACTTGGCAATGCCATCCTGTACCAATGTGGATGTTCCCCAGCACCCGTGCTCTTCCAAGGTTTCCCATGTCCCCCATGGCCATGGCAGCTCCCTGACCCACTCCCCACCTACCTGAACTCCCTGCCCTCGCTGTAGCGCCGGGCTGAGGCTGCGCGCTGCGTGGCCGTCTCCAGAAGCAGCTTCTGCGTGAGCCTGCTGGAAGGCGCTGAGTCCCTGCTGGCCTCGGGCTCGGCCTCTTGGTCACACTTCCACTCCTCATCCTCGTTCAGAGTTGGCAGATAACCAGGCAGCCCTTTACCTGTCCCAGATCCCGAGCTCGGATCGCTATAAATTTTTGGACTTTCCCCACCTGTCCTTGTGTATTCCAAATAAATATCCGACTTAAGGAACAAAGGGTAGGTATTGTCTTCTATCATGCACTGAATCTCCGTTTGGGCCTGGTCAAACATGTCAGGGTCAATCTGCAGTTTCATGACACAGTCTTTGATGAAGCTTTTTGTGGCCGGTTTGATCTGCCGGGACACAATGCCATTGTTGTCGAGGATGTATTTTTTGTAAATGGCTTTTGCCAGCTTGAGTCTTTTTTCCTCATTAGACACGCAGGGCTCCAGCTTCCTGAAGCCACTGCAGGCAAACCAAAAGTCCAGCAGATCTGCACAGTCCTCCTGTTTCAGGAAAGTCCTGAAGAGGTTGATGCCATCTTGATCATCCAGCAAGGAGTGCAGTGACTCGGCCCACTTCAGGTAGGGTGGAGTTGGTGAAGCACTTCCCTCGGGCTCGTACCCCAAATCCAAATCGGAGCGCCTCGGTGTTGCCGTGGACGTCTCATTTCTGACCACATCACTTTTACCGGAGTAGAAACCATGGCTAACTGGCCTTGGGTCTGTGGACACGAGCTCCCCCTCCTCACCAGGAACCGGTGGCCTTGGAGCATCTTCAGTGAAGCTTCCTCCGAGGTCCAAGGGGAAGCCTTTCCCCTGGATATTCATTTTTCTGGTCCTTGCTTGCGTGGGAACAGTGGGGGATGAGCGTCAATCTCAAATCACCAATATTTGTAGCTCCAAGGTGAAGAAGTTTGTTTGGCTGAAACAGATGAGGAAAAAGTAAGCGAGTATCACTGGAAATAAACACTCTAAGACAACAAACTAGTGGTTATGCTCTGCACCTTTACTATACTAACACCTCTTTTTCAGCAGAATCAATGGCTTGGTAATTTCCGAGAGCACAGAATCGAGCTCAAACCAGGCAGGGGCTAAAAATGACAGTTACAGAGCTTTACATCCAGAATTTGGCATCACTGATACAGCTGACACCATGCTAAAATACCAGCCAATTTCCCAAAACTGGTGGTTTATACATGACCCTGGCATGTGGCAGCCCACATCCAAGAGATCCATACCCAGGTACCACAGGGCACATGCCATCTTCTGCACTGCCACCAGCTCCTCTGCACTGCCTACCTGGACAGGACACACACCAGATCATACTAAGGCAGCGTCTTTTTATCTGGCTATGGATATAGGAAATTCTTATCCTTAAACAGGAATTTAAGGCTTGTGAAAATTGTTATTAAAGAACATCCAGTCAGTCCTGAAAGCAGGGCTGCACCTTAATCAAACACAGGTGGCTTTCGTATGCTCAAGTGACATACCAGCGCCACATTCCTCACAAATCTCTGCGTTTCAGAAATACGCCGCGTCGCCTCGTCTAGCTCTAGGGGAATCCAGATGCATCGTTGACCCTAATATTTTGGGCATCTGGACTGCATTCTTGCTTCAGATGGGCATGTTAGTACAGGAGCTCAGTTCTAGCACTGCTTTTTGTAGGCAAGCCGTTGAGAAAAGCTTCATTTACGCTAACAAAATTGCATGCTACAAGCCTGGGAAAATTTCAGGTCATCAAAGGAAGATGAGAAAACCACCTTGACAAGGAAACCTGATTAAGTACAATGTTTTTAAAGAAGAGCAACGAGTCAATATGGAGGATGGAAGGTATGGGGAAGGCAGGGAAGGAAGAAAAGGGCAATCCCTGGGTTGCTACTTCTGCTGCTTAACAAATTAACCTCATCATTTAACGCGAGTAGCAAAAGCCTTGTGTTACAGAACAGCCTCAGCCTCTAAGCCCCAAGTACTGCAGAGCACCAACAGCCTCACAAATTACTCCTTGCCCTGGATTAACTCAATTGCATGTAAAAACACAGCAGGAAAGACACATTTTAGCTCGCCCTCCCTCCCAAAGCAAACCCCACACCAACGAATATCTTTGGGATGCTTTATAATTTTCCCCACATTTCCTGATCCTGGCTAAACCAAGAACCGCCGCCGATGCCGTGCCTGTCCTTACAGCCCACCTGTCCATCGTGAAACAGCCCAGCGAGCCCAGGAGCGGCCGGCGAGGATGGCTGGGCCCGGCGAGGAGCGGGCAGGAGCCAGCGCCGCACTCACACCCGGCCCGAGCCCCCGGCAGCCCCTGCCCTGGCACCGCGGGACGGGGCTGGGCTTTGGCACCACGGGCCGGTTCTGGGTGGTTTTCACCCCGCTTCTAGAAGCGAGCGCAGGACTCGCCCCCCCGTTTGCGGTGCAGGTCCCCGGTGACCCCCGGCCGGGTGAAGGGGACCCCCGGGGCAGCGGCACCGCAGCCCCAAAGCCACGCCGGGCATTGTTGCGGCGGGGCGGCGTTGGCTCCTCGCCCCGGCCGGGGCAGCCCCGGGGAGCCTCCTGGAGGACACGCGAGGCGCCCGGCCGAGCCTCCCGCCCGGCTCCGGAGGGGACCCGCGGGAGGCGCGGGGCCGGGTGGGCTCCGGGGCGGCCCCGCC